GCCACAAACTCGCATAGGGGGTACAGTGGGTGGGCCCCACAGCAGGGTGGAGCCCACCCACCCTACCCTGCTCTTGCGAGTTGCTGGCTCGCGGTTGGGCCAAAAAGCAGAATTGTTATAAATATTATTTTCCCCCTATATAGGCAAAGATTTTCCCAAAAACATGCATGTGACATCGAAAACTGAATCAAGAAAAATAGTTTCTCTCTCTCTCTCATGTTGTGAGCCCGACTCCAAATGCTTTTAGGACTTGCACTTCTTTTCTTTTGTTTTGTTCAAGGCTTGTATTCCATTTGTAAGTAGATCGTAGATAAGATGAGGCCTGATGGGACCGAAATTTTTTATAATTAGTTAGCTAGTTATACCACTTAGACAGGCTAATTGGCACTTAAATACCTAACGTCTCATCACCTTTTAATTTAAATATCATAAATTATAAGTAGTATTTTAATACCCTAAGCCTAATTTGATATAAGGTATCAGGAAAGGAGGTAAAGTGAGAGATAAAATAAAAAAAACCCCTTTGAAATGAGGTATTTAGAAGAGGAGGTAAGGTAGAGTTGGGTGAGGTGAAGTGAGAGAAAGCAAAAAATAAACTAAATATGAGGAGAGAGAAAATCTCTCTCCCATTTGAGAGGACATAGAGGAATTGAGGAGATTTATTTTACAATTACTTTTTTATCCTCACAAATATTTCATAATTACCTGATTAAATATACTATCCTCACAAGGTTTTTTTAATAAAAAAATTTAGTCCCCCAAATCTTTATGTCCTTGAAACTAGACTGCCAAATTTACAAATTTTAAAATTAGGCCCCCTAGTTTTTCAAATTCTAAATTATTAGTCTGTGAAATCTTTAAGTAATTTCAAAGAAGTCCCCCAAATCTTTATACCTTAGAATTAGTCCCACAAATCTTCATAACACTTATTAGATTTGGGAGACTAATTTTAATACATGAAGAGTTGGAAGATTATCTCGTAAAATACATGAAGAGTTGGAAGATTATCTCGTAAAAGCTTGGCCATTAAGCTGAAATGAGTTTTATCTCCTTTTCTCTTTTTTGATTCGATAAATAATAGGCAATCTGATTTTTTTTCTTTTATTTATTTTCTCGTCTGTTTTAACAAATCATAGACAATCTTATTAATATGTTTTGAAAAGTGTTTTCATAAAAGAGTATTATTGTACTTTAACTAACTCATCACCTTCCTCCTATTCCCATCCCCTCAATGAAATAAGAAAAAAAAAAAAAGTCATATACCTCCTCTTACCCTCCCTCCAACCAAACAAAGAAGCACAAAAGGTATATCTTCCCTCGCACCTTATGGCGCTACACTCTACCTCACTTCCCATTCTCATACCCCTACCAAATCAAGTCTAAGTTATAAAATAATAATACTCTAATGTCTTAAGTTATAAATGAAAGGGCACATTAGTACCATATGTTAGTTGCAAGTGAGAATATTTCTCAGAATATTCCCTTGTGATTAGCACATGACATTTTTGTAATTGTGTTGATCTCATTTATAGTCATATTGGCAACTATACCTCACATTTGTTTTATTAATTTCTTTGAAGAGGTATTTTTATCATAATAAGTTTTTTAATGGTGTTTACAAGATTCTGACGGTGAACAACTTAGGATATTTAAGTGTTACTTTTTGCAAGGTTAGTGTGAATGTGGCAAAACAATGGGTTCTTTATGAGCCATTTAGCCCACATAGACATGTCCTTACAGGCTTTAAAGACATTAGGCTATGACCCATAATATTCTCCCGACCAACATAAGCATTTTTGCAAAGTGTGCAAATTTCCAATGGACAACCGAACTCCTCGTGATTGCGCTCTCTACGTCAATTCAAAATCCTCGTTTTTGCCTCTCACTCTCTTACTGGCATTCTCTCAAACACCTGGAGGTATTCTCTCTTTCCACAATTTTCTCTCTTACTTTCTTTTGTATTGGTGATTTTTCTTCATTATCTTGATAGATTCATTGATTTTTTTAAATAAAATATAACATAAGAAATGAGTACCTCTTATTCTTTCTTTTTGCGTCATCACATTCCCAATTCTGGGTTGTTTTCATGCATATGAAACATCGAAACTGGTTAACTTACACTACCCACATTTTATATCGTGATTATAATGTTCTAATTATGTGATTATGATCGTCAATAGCTGAAAATTGTACTGACCTTAGTTCATAGGTTTTTGTTTTTTGAAATTGGCATTATTGGTTTCTGCCATAAACCGTAAATGCCAGTTTGGGGCTAGAAAAATCCACTGCAGTAGAAAATAGTCAGGAATTTGATTGTATGTGGTGATTCTTAGTTACTACTGCAGATTACGTTGAATCCATCTTTGAAGCAACGCATATGCTAATTACAATATGAAAAACATCTATAATTGTTCAGAATCATAAATGCCGAAGAAAAACGAATATGAAAATTCATCTTCGATTTCTTTTATTACATTGAAAATTTTATAAAGGAACACAAAACAAATTGTCAGCTACATCCTGATTCTACTTTCTAATTACATGACATCAACACTTTAGACGAAAAACATCGATGACTCTTAAGTATACAAAGCATAGAAGAGGCTTGATTTGATGCCTTCCTCATCTTCTTTGGAAGTTGAGGACCTTTATCGAAAACCCAAATAGGAAAGCAAAGAGAACTGGGAATGCCACAACCACAACCGCAACCACGCCCAAAAAGCTGTGTTTAAATCCAAAATAGGTCCTCACAAAGTCAGAGACAACTTCACCACTGTCGAGTTTATCATCGATATCTCCGAATTGTGAAGCAACCAATCCGTACAAAGTCCATGCTACAGGACAAATCCAATAGTACCATCTCCACCACACGGGAATTTTCTACAAAATAAAATTTGCAGTATTAGATCATTCTATCTAATTCGCAAATTTGAAAAGGGATTGATGAATAGAGTTACGACTTACGGTTCTTGGGATGAGAAACCCAGAGAAAAGGTTCCATATTGCATAAAATGCGGAGGAAACTATGGAGGCTATGTTGTGGTTTGGTGTCAAGCCTACTGCCATCATTCCGTAAAATGTGAAGTATAGCAATGTGAAGTACATGAAGAACATGTACCAAAAGAATTTGGCGACTGTCCATTCAAATCCAATCATGGCGTATACTATGACACCATAAATAAGAGACTGAGCCAATACATATGGAAGCTCAATGGCAACCTGCAAAGGCAATACATCAACATGATTAAAGAAATTGAAGATAGAATTCATAAAGCTGACAGGTTTAGGGTGATGTGAGAATTACCTGTCCAAATGCATAGGGCAATGCTGAATACATTCCCGCTGCTCTTTCTCTGTAAAATACAGTTCTTTCAATTGCAACGACTGGTTGTACTGATGATGCATTTTGAACTCCAATGAATAGGACAGCAGAGTACATGGAACCCATTGCATTGAACAAGTCTTGTCGCCTCTTTCTGCAATGAAACATTGAATCTAGTCAGCCTGATGCAAAATGTAATATGAGGTTTACCACATAATAGATTCTATGAATTATTACCTTTTGGTTCCAAGATCCCAGAATATCGTCCCAAATAACAGAGCTATGATAAGTGTGAAGAAAAATCTCACTGCATTGTATGGAGGATTCCTCCAATATGACAAGTTTTGTTTCCATAGGCAAGCCATACATTGTGTGAGGAAGGATTGTGAGTATTGAGTTGAGAAGTACAAATCTTTAGAACCTGGAGGAGGTGTACTGAGCTCTTTAATCAAGGTTTTGTTTCTCCTGCGAAGAAATTTGGAGTAATAAAGTTAAGAAATATTTGGCAGTGTCAAATTGGAAGAAAACTAAAGGAGAAACAAGAAGTTTACTCACTGGAATAGTGCAGAGTTCTTGTAAACTTGAGCAAAATTGACTCCCAATATCTCTTCCTGTGCCGAAGAGGTTGCTTCTAACATCCATGTTGCAGGATTATATCCATCTTTGATTTTGCTGACGCCTTCAACTTCCTGTAGAAAATATATTAAAGAATCTGTGATTAATCACACGATGAGTACTAAACTTCTATAAATGTTAGTTTCTTTATTGTTGGTGTTTACCTCAAAATATTTGATCAAGTCGCAAGAATGACGCCCTAAAGGACCAACATATATCTCTTCTCCTCCTCTCTTCATTAGGAACAACTGCAATTACATCATTAATATAAAGTTTCACTTAGAACCATGATTTTAATCTCACTATAATAATGTAATAAGGTGCAATAATCTTAGCATTGCTAACCTCATCAAAAGCTTCAAAGATGTCGATGCTAGGTTGATGAATAGTGCAAACCACTGTCCTTCCAGTGTCCACGGTGTTCCTTACGGTCCTCATAACAATTGCTGCAGCTCTTGCATCTAGTCCAGATGTAGGCTCATCCATAAATATTATAGACGGGTTAGCAACTAACTCCACCGCAATAGTCAATCTCTTGCGTTGTTCCGTAGATAATCCATTAACTCCAGGCAATCCAACTAGTGCATTCCTTAATGATGTCAGCTCTACAAGCTCCATGACTTCTTCAATAAACATCTGTGTTCACGTGGTTTATTAGTTTAAACGTAACCAAACATTTCCTAAAAATTATATGACATTATATTACCAACCTTTCTTGTTTTTGAATCGACATCTTGTGGTAGCCTAAGCCAACCAGAGTACATGAGAGATTCGTAAACTGTGACGTTTGGGGAGTGAATATCATTCTGTTCACAATATCCAGAGACACGAGCAAAGGTTTCTTGCTTCTTCGGGTACCCATTTATGGTTATGTTTCCCTCAATGTATCCACCTGTTTTTCTTCCAGCTAGGACATCCATCAGTGTTGTCTTCCCTGCTCCACTAACTCCCATTAGCGCTGTAAGAACTCCTGGCCTGAATGATCCACTTACACCTTTTAGAAGCTCCAACTTGTTTTCTGTTATGCCTTGTGCTTTCATTTCCTGCAATGAAATTGAGCATCATTAAAATCTCAGAAGAATGTATGCATAACTGTCAAATATAAGTTTTGTATACTCTATTTTAAAACCTACCGGTGGCATATCAACCGAGTATCTCATATCGTCGAATGTGATGGAAAGAGGTACAAAAGGAAGTACCATTCCTTTTTTGCTTTGATTTTGATCAAGGGTGAGAGTAGATGGGCTATTTTGTCGCATAATCTCATCTGCATTTTTTGAATCTACATTAGAATTAGGATTGATTTATCAAAAAGAAAGTAGCTTAAGTTAGATATACTGGCTAGCTAGGCTTACTTTCGGATGCAGACTGACTATTCGATTTCTTTCCTCTTGAGGATGTTTCTAATATTTCTCCTGTTATATTGGAATGCTTTTCCTTTAATGTATCTTCAGACATGGCAGCCTGAGCATTCCCCAGGGCTGTAAAAGTAAGAATAGAAAGTCAGATTATATTGCTCAGTCATTTTCATTTATGAATTACTAGGAAGAGTACTTACGATTGAGATATGCGAGAGCCAAGGTGAAGAGAACATTGAAAAGGAACATATATCCAAGTAATGCACCAATGCCAATCCAATACCACTTTGCTTCAGGAAAGATCCCTCTCGATTTCAGTATAGTCACTCCTAATGTTTCTCTTGCTCCGGGAAGAATCTGCAACGTGACATTAGATTGAAACATGAGGTAATTATTAGTTACTAATTACAAACTATTTTTATTGATTTAAATAAACCACTTTCCACTTACTTTATTCCAGCTATTGCCAAGGAATTCATTCACTGATATCGCATTTTGTCCATACATCAGGGGTGAGATCCAGTAACCCCATATCCACCATTTCTTCACATCATCTGTCAAATTAATGATGATAGTGGTTTAGCTTATTTCTTGTTCTTTAATCATGACACAGATTAATGATGCTGTTTTCAGTAGCATACCTCTTGATAAGATGAATCCACCTAGCACCATGAGAATGAGCAGTGCAAATGACCCGAATGTGTTTGCTACAACCATGTCCCTACCAATTGCACCAATGAACCGAAAGAGTCCAGATGCCATTTGATTGATCACGAGAAGCAGAAGATACTGCTTAAAAAGCCTTCCCACATTTGGATCGAACCCTATAACATAGTAAGTAATGAAAACCCACACTCCAACTTCTAAGAAAGTTATGAGAATCTTCAATATCCATGAGGGTATGGCATATGCCCATGGCGGATAGAATAAGAGATCTCTTTGCTTGTAAAACACAGGTAGCTTCATAATGGTCATGGCGAGCTCAGAGAATCCATTGAACATGATCATAACCAGCGAGAAGAATAGAGCACCCATGTAAATCCCCCCATCGGTTACTGAATCATGGTGCAATTCGGTTCTCAAGAAGACTGTCATTGCAATTAGTGCCATGATTGACAGCTGAAGCCAGATATAGCCTCAATGTTAGATACATGAATTGGTATATGAAATTGTAGCATTTATTTCTTGGTTATCAAAGGTCACTCACCTGAGTTGCCTTAAAAACATAGATAAAAGAGTTCCTCTTCATCAACAAAATTTCTCTTGCACATGTTGCTTTCAGCAATTCTGTCTTGCTGACTCCATATTTTGATGTTGTTAGCGCAGCAGGATGGTTGTTGGCTCTATCAAAAGGGAGTGCAAGCTCATTCCCTATGCTCTTGCCGACATGGAACGAGTGAAAAGCCTCTGCAAACTCTCTGACAGCAATGAATCTATAAGGTTCATCGTGGCGAGCCCAATACTGTGGCTGATCTTTCCTTGATGTAACCTATAAATCAATAATATATCGATCATTATAAAATAAAGGATCAGATAAGTGAAACAATTTCTGGCAATTATCCTACCTCTTGCAAGAAGTCAGCAATCCCTTTTCTTTGAGGGCACTTGAAGCCCATATGCTCAAAGAAGTCAAGCACATGCTCACGGGGGCCTTGATATACAACCAAGCCATCGGAGAGAAGGATGATATCGTCAAAAAGGTCGTACGTCTCTGGTGCAGGCTGGAGCAGAGAGATAACAGCAGTTCCACCGAGAATGTGAATGGATTGTCGGAGTGACTTCACAATCTGAAAGGTCGTGGAGCTGTCAAGGCCAGTGGATATTTCATCCATGAAGAGTGCTTTTGCCGGTCCAACGAGCATTTCTCCTGACAAGGCAAGAGCGTATATCACATTAGTATAGGTATAACCGAAGAAATAAAAGAATATTTAGTAAATAAAAATGTGATCCTAAAAGGTTTATTTACCGGTTGTGACACGTTTCCTTTGCCCTCCAGAGATACCTCGCCGCATATCATCTCCCACCATTGTGTCAGCACAAATGTCTAATCCTAATATCTGTCATAGTTATAATTGACTTTTGTAAGGGTTATTTGGAAAAAAAACAGTGGTTCTAACTGATAATTCAATTGAATTAACAAGTGCACAAACCTTGAGTATGTAATCGGTGACTACATTGGTTTCTTGCCCACCCATTGAAGTTGCCTGAATTAGTAGAAAATACAAGAAATATGTCAATTTCTTGTTTGTTTGGAGAGAAGGGAAAAATATCGGATACCATTAGATGTCATCTCACGAACATTTTGTTTGACTCACCTTCATATAGACATCGATATCAGGATCTGGTTTAATATTTGCTGCTTTCTCCCTTCTTGATAGTTCAGTTAACATATCTGTATTTTATTATTGCAAAAATCATGAATTAAATACTATCAAGTATCAACTAATCCTGTGTGCCTAAAATCAAGCAGGTGATACTTTACCATATCGAGCACCGACTCCTTGGCATCGAGCAGAGAAGGCTAAGGTTTCTCGAACTGTCATTTCTCCGATGTGGAGATCATGCTGACTGATATAAGCTGCTGTCCTTTGAGGTACAAACTCGTTCATTTCATGACCATTGTAAGTCAGTTTTCCTGAAACCTGTTATAGTTTCAGATATCGAATTAGTAATGTCTTTTGCTCTTTTCAAACTAATTTCCTGGTGAAAATTAGCTTTTCTTTTTCTAATAGGCTACAAAGAGAACGTATTAGTACACTGACCTTTAGATCTGCGCCTAGTTTTCCAGCCAAAGCCAACAACAGCGTGGTTTTTCCAGAACCTGGAGGCCCTAGAAGTAGAGTCATCCTGGAAATCACAAACGAATGAACCATTCATCTTATGAATAAAATGCAATCATAGGGCAAATTTTCGTATTGAAATCTTTTTTCGTTATCTTTATCTCGAAATTTTCATACCTTCTAGGCTTAACAATTCCACTGACGTCTTGAAGAATCGATACCCGTCTCTTTCTACTTGGCAATATATGAAGGTAGTTCGCACAGGCCTTGATCGAGAACAAGAAATCAATTTTATCAGTATGAAGTTTTGAAAAACAGACATCCGTGTAAAACTTCAACAACTGACATAATCATACCTCCAATACATTGAGTGTAGAATTGAGGATTGTCGGCAACCCTCTATTGCCCACATAAGCCTCTGCTTCAATGTTCAGGTTCTCATAACGAACCTCAATCGTAGGAAGATGAATCCCAACTCTACAAAGAGGTTAAAAAATTCTCATCAGATAATTTTTCTATTATGTTAACACTTCCTTTTTGACATTGAAACCATAATCTCACCGATCGATTCTATCCTTGAGCTTGTATAGAAACTTCTCATTATCCTCATCTGCAACTCTAACAAGCCTCTCCAATAGCTTCTGCCTGTCTTGAAACCCGAGATTCTTGACATCGACTTCTTTACGCTCTCCTTCTGCTACCTCAAGAATCCCTCTCCTGACTCGATCATAAGTCGGCAGCTTCTCCAAAGCAGCCCATTTTAGAGCCTCTTCATCGTCCTCATCCCTCGAAGACCTCGAGAATATCTCCTCCCCCCGCTGCCATATCCCGGAACCGCTCCCTAAACTCCCTACTCTATACAAATCTCCGGTTGCCATAAAAAATCCACAACGCAAAAGAACTAAGAACTAAGAACAAGCAGAGGACCTTTATGTTCTAGTTTTGAGAAATGCTGATGAATTTTTGAGTTTTTACGGAGAGAAGAGAACAGGGAGGGGAAAGAGAGAGTTTTAGTTTTGAGAAATGCTAATGAGTTTTTTTTTTTTTAAGGGAAGAGAACATGGAGTAGAAAGATAGAAGGGAGAGTTATATACACGCACACAAAGGGAGTCGATGATATTGGTCAACAATTGAAGCCTTTTAGAGAGGTGATTCTAAGTTGTTGACATAGAATTCTTTAAAAAGATGGCAAGGGAAACATGGGGAATATATCGGGACACGGTTGATAATTAGGAATTAAATTACTTATCTATTGCTTGTATGTGAAGTACGAATAGCGCGATCATAGGAGATAATTTATTGTATTTACACCTTATTTAATGTTTGATTTTCTTCATGTGATTTGATGTTACGTGCTTTCTTTTGAGAAGTAAGTTTCCCGTGTTGCCGTGTTTGTGCTTCTAGAAGGGGGTGGGAGCGAGCCTAATTAGTGATGGTGTGACCCACATCTTAATGGATTCGCATAAAATTGCAGTTAGACCCCTAATATTAATTGAATTTAAATTCGGTTTGGGTTAGTAACCATATGATTGGTTTATTTGAGTACTAAAGGTCCAATTTTTATAGATATAGACATTATCTAGTAGGAGCTTTGGATATAGATCTTGAATACATTCAAATTTCATATCATCTATTTACTTTCCTATCTATTCTTATAGTATTTATTTCCAATGGTTTCTTTATTTACTTTTCTCCACTGGAAATTTCCAAGTATGTTGCCTCACTTTTTGCAGTTTTCTTTGATGGAGAAATTTTTAAAATAGACTCATTTATAGCTTTATTCATCAAAATCAACCCATTTCAAACATATTCACAAAAATCGATCCAGTTTTAACTAGGTCAAAATATTTCTTTCTAATTAATCGGGGTTGCCAACCCCGACTAATTAGTAACAAGACTAATTAACCTTCTACATAGTCGGGGTTGACAATGGCGACTACTTTGAACTGCAATTTCAGCTTCCGCTACTAACCCGTGTAATTAAACTAGCGTCTAATTAGTCAGGGTTGGCAACCTCGACTAATTAAAAAGAAACGTTTTCTTTAAATCGATACGGTTTCGGCTCGCGCTATTGACGTGGCTAAAACTGTGTCGATTTTTGTAAATAAAATTGGAATTAATCGATTTTGGGGAATAAAATTGTAAATGGGTCTATTTTGAAAATTTCTCCTTTTTTGACTTGATTACGGACTAGCAGTTAAATCCATGGAGTTTGGACATGGTTTAGAGTTCTAATTCTTTATTTAGAATTGTTAGTGTTATTGAATTATAATAGAGAAAATTCCTCCCGCTAAGTTTGTAGTGAAAAACTTTTACACGCTGATATTTCTCGTTCAAAAAAGTTATCGTCTTTAATTTGTTGATGATAAAGAAGCTACAATTTTAGCAATTATTCACACGGATAACTATATAGTGCAAAGAAATGCTTAGTAATGTTGAACTTAGCATATTCCAAAAGGAAATAGATAGAAAAAAAAATAACAATGCAGAGAAAATAGTTAGATTTTTTTTGTTCTTTTAAAAAGTATGCATGTTGCTCTTTCACCTTAACTTAGGCTTCTTGGTTAATTAGCAACAAGCATTAGCATCTTTGATTTGACCATGAGATTCATTTGTTTCACCTTTCTTTATCTATATAATCATTTATATAGGACATCTTGTACTTTGGTCTCTAATCTCTTCTGGTATCATAGTTGACTATAGGCCTCTGGTATCTGGTTCTATGATAAAGGATTATGATCTAATTGTAAAATTTCGTAAGCCAAGATGTAGAATATGATCTTTATTTATAAACCAAAACGTACAGAGATGATTATATCATTCATTTGTGGGAATGATTTCAAACTATGAAAGATTTGGCGGATTAATCTCGAAAAAAACCCTGTTTTGTATAATTGAGTCTAGGAATGAACTTTATGATGAATGTTTGGAATAATAAAGTGGTTAGTCGTTATTATCTGTCACGTTTGAATAAGTTAGATTAGATAATGCCTCAAGTTTCTCGCTTTCTCTATTATTAACTCATTTTTTTATTTCTGCAGTCATGAAGGACATAAACTGATTTTAACATTATATGAACAGTTGTGTTGCATGTGTTTTCTGTCGAACTTTATACTGTGTATTTGACCCACATGTACATACCTCTCTGTCATAGAGCTGTGACCTTATAATAAGGGTAAATTGTTCTAAACCCTCATGAATCTTAAGCATTTCACAGTAAACTCCTATGAACTTTCAAATCCACGCTAAACCACAATTAACTCTTCTATTTTTCAGAAAACCCCTAATAAGTTTCTACATTTTGCAGTTAACCCCCATAAATTAGAACCCGAAAACAACATAGAATGGCATTTTGAATGTTATTGGGGGTTTAATGCAATTTATCCAAAAGATATTGGAGGTTTTTTGCAAAAGTCATTGGAGGTTTAGTGCGATTTTGAAAGTTTATAGGGGTTTACTGCAAACTACTGGAAGTTGGTGGGGTTAGTGTTATTTACCCTAATAATAACCATGATGCTTGCCATGATTATATTATTTGTTAACGTGCATAGTGATCTCATTAGTGACAACCTCAAAGAACCCGGGTATGAAGCTTCTCAGCTGCTTTTGCCCCTTTTCTTTGAAATTTAGTTTGTGTCTCTACCTTGAATATCAGCACGTGACTTATATGAAACTTGAACAAGTCCATACAAGCTGTGACCTAATATTAGGCTACTATTTTCTGGTTCACATTGCTGGAATCTGGATGAATAAGCTGGTCGTTGAGCTGTCTCTATAACAATTGTGCTGAGGTGGTGCTAACTGATGGAAACTTCTTTGGGATTACGGAGGGCCGCCCTCTGTAGAAAATCATACTTAGAGGGCATATATTTTTTTTATTGAGAGAAACTGTGAGGCCTAGGCTCCCAGGATTTCATTCAAAGATAACAATGAAGCAATATACATACTAGAAATATGCAAACTTATATGACAACAATGTACGTATAGTCTGATCCTTAAAAAAAAAAAGATAGATAGAAAATACATATAAAGCCCTCGTCGTCTCAGGCCAATCCCTCGTCAGCTCTAATGGACCGTGACCCAATCCAACAAGCCCCCTTGTCATTTTCGGCTAATCCCTCGGCTCTGATGAATCCCTCGCCATCCAACATCTTGTTAGCTCCGATGAGCTTATTATCGAATACCGCAAGCCCTTTGTTGCCTCTTGCAAACCCCTCATTGTCTTAGATTGACCTATCGTCAGGTTCAAAATATCCATGGTTGGAGCCGGCAAAGCCGTTTGCCGCCTTTGCCAAACTTCTAGTCGTCTCAATCCAACCCCCTTACAGGGCTTAAATTATCACAAGTGTTCAACATAAACTTTAAGGTCGACCATTGCATTCACACGATAGTGTGAAGAGTGTGGATGACTCTGATATAATATTTAGATTGTACTGATATTGTATACTGATTATATGGACTTACAAATTGTAATTGAACTGTTTTTAGCCTAAATTCAATCTATTATTAATGTTATTGAGCACTAATCTATCTTTTTTATGTTAACTTTTGTATCGGACTTACGACATGTTTGGTTCTGTCAGGATCTAGATGAAATTGATAATCTGGAACCATGTGTAGCCCTAGTTTATGTACTACTTTTTTTCTTTAATTGTTCGGAGAGAAATGTACTACTTGAATAACTGAAACTTCTAGCATGAATTTATAATGAATTTTCTTTTTTGTTTGGATAAAAAAAGAACAACAGCATTCATTACCAATAGTTCGTATAGAACTAATTTCAGACAAGATCACCAATTTCTGCTGACCCAAAATTATAGGAATGCATCTTTAGACGGAAACATGAAACCTTGTCAACTGGAAAATTGCATATACGTCTGCAGGCAAAATAACTTCAAGAAGAAACAAAAACAAAAGCACACAAGACAGCTATTACATTTTAAGGTGAAGCAAAGTCTTTTCTTGGTTACCTTGGTGTATAGAAGTCTAAATTCACAAATTTTCAGGGGGCTACGTGGGCCTTTTCGAGTCCATATAAATCCTTTCGGGGCCCACAGTTCATGTCAAGAGAGCTTAGTGTTGACACCCCCCAATACAAAAATCAAGGTATTGGTTAGTAGTGGTGGGAAAGCGGTGAGGAAAAGCGACAAGAGTGATGGGCCACCTTTTCTATTGATATTTGGTAGCAAATAATTCACACTTGATTCGTTGTTCTTTTAGATGTTCGGTGCGCACTAGCTTCTCATTAATAGGACCTACGACTTTAATTACTTGCCTCCCAACGTTCTTTATCCAAAAGAAGTTCCTGATATTATTGGGGGGGTTTCCTCAGCATAATGCTCTTGGGTATTATTTTACTCCATTCCTTTTGCATATGAGGATATTCAAATCTTTTAGAGCATTTTTTTTTCATGGTATATCTTTGCAAAGTTCTTTTAAAGTTGCTAGGACCTCCATCTCGTCCAATAATTTAGATTCCATAATTTAATAAAATAATTATGTTAATTTTAGAAACACCACCCCCCACCCACCCACCCAACTGTGAGGCATGTCTCAGAAAATCCCCTCAGCTATATTATTTTTAGAAAACCCCGCTCAATTTGAGGGTGTTGTAGATAAACCCGCTCAACTTTTAAAATATGACTAAACCCCTCTTAACTATAGGATGTCTCACAAAACCACCCTTATCATTCTACTTTTTTCAAATAATCCCCCTAATATTATTAATTTGAATTATGTAATGACTAAGATACCCTTGTTTGAAAAAAAATCCGAGTTTAAAAACCCCAACCCAATCAAAATATTAGACTTCGATTCAGTGGATTTTGATAGGGAAACTAATCTTCAAAAAAAAAGTTTCAATAATTTTAGACATTATAAGTACAGATAAGTAGAAAATAAAAAAAGGTTTAGTGTTTCAAAATAGAAAGAAAAATTAGATTTGCATGTGAACCTGTCAAGGAAGATGGAGGAATGATGTAGAATACTCTGCGAACATATTTATGGACATGCGGAACCAACACAAGCCCAAACGTGGACCCGGTTGAGGAAAATAACTTGCAACGAAGAACGAGTTATATCTCTTAAACCGTAAGTCGGAATTGGACGAATTATATATGTAAATCGTGTATTTTTTCGAGATGGAGTCAACCAAACCGATCGTTATTAGGTTTTCC